GGGGTATATCTAAGTTTTATCTGGTGAGATTTGTGTACTGCTCTATCACTGACTAGGCAGAGATACACAAACTCTGCAGTCTGTTTGATCTCCTATTAATGATTTTCTTATAAATACCTTCCTTATGTGAAAATGATTATAAGGAATTAGATTTGAAACTCTTTATAAGTAAAAAGACAGTATGCATCCGATGAAGTGAGCTGTAGCTCACGAAAGCTCATGCTCAAATAAATTGGTTAGTCTCTAAGGTGCCACAAGTACTCCTTTTCTTTTTGCGAATACAGACTGACACGGCTGCTACTCTGAAACCTGTCTTTATAAGTAGTACAGTACATACAGTAATTTTGTAGTTTAAATTATGACTGTAAATTATGTGCTATGACTATTCATCTACATTTACGTTCACAATGTTGCCAGCTCTCATGATTTTACTGAGAGTCTCATGTTATTGGTGTTTTTCTTAAAGCCAGAGCTTTGAGAGTCATGCAATTCCATTGAGTCTGAGCTTTCCTAAAAAAAAAAGTTCTAGGGATGCATGTGGACAAATGCTTGAAAATGCTAAGGATAAAGGCTCAAAAACCAGAACACAAATAAAAAGGAACTTCTGATTTTATTTTTTTTTTAAATTTCAAGATTTTTAAGTCAATCTCATTTTTGGGTCTCATAATTTTTGAATATTTGGAGTTGGCAATACTGATGTTGGTTTATTCACTTTGATCTCAAATTATTTTAAATTCTGCTACTATTTCCCCATAGGCAGGGACACAATTGTCCAGGCAAACACAAATTGCAGGCCTAATTAGCACAAGTGACTAACACATATATACAAAATGAAAAAGAACTGAATTATGACCCACCCCTTGGTAACGCCCCAGATATCTGATCTCCCTGATTACCTGGATCACAAGTCGGGGGGGGGGTGAGGAGGGACAGCGGCTGCTACACCAATAATCCCCCCAAGAAAGCCATGACTTTATCTCCCCTATGGTTTGGCTAGCTGAGATGACTGAACATGAAAGTGTATGGTAATTGTCCTACACAATATACTCCCCTCCCCCTGCAGTATAATTCCCTAAAGAGGAATTCCAAAAGAACTGTGACTCAGAAGTGTGAAATGTGACTCAATATCACATCACATTTTGGGCTAAACTACAATTCGGTATTTTCTGCCACAGAAATGATATCATCTTATCTGGATGAAATATTATACAAAGTGGCTTCTTAGAGGGCTAGTAACTTAACCTTATCTGAGGCAGACTACTGAGTAAAAATAAAGCCCACCTGCCCTCTGGAGAGTCATGAACTGCACCAGGAATCCATTAGGGTTTGAGGATGTGCCAGAATTAGTGGTCGTTATACTTTTTTGAGGGGGGGGGGGTTTCTTTCTCTGCTGGGAAGCAGTTGTTGTGAGAGTTTCCCTTGTCACCACAATATTCTGTATTTGAAACTTTCCTAATGCTCTTCTTCTGAGCAGCTCTGACTTTCAGATTCACATGTGTATAACTAACAACCCAGTCTATATATACAGTATTGTTGTAGCCATGTGAGTCTCAGGATATTAGAGAGAAAAGGTGGGTGAGGAAATATCTTTTATTGGACCAGCTTTGGTGGGTGAGAGAGAGACAAGCTTTCAAGCTTACACAGAGCTCTTACTCAGGCCTGGTCTACACTACAGTTAGATCAACGCAAGACAGCTTATACCGACCTAACTATGTAAGTGTTTACACTAAAATTTCACTCCTGCCAATGTAACTGCCTCACTATGCTGACTTAATAACTCCACCTCCATAAGAGGTGTAGAGTTAATGTTAATGTAGTTGGTCGATGCAGTGTCAATGTAGGCACTGCACTGTTCACATCTACCGTTACTGGCTTTCAGAAACCATCCCGCAGTGCCCCACATTGACAGTACAAGCACTCCTGGTTGGTATGCACACCACCAACATGGAGCAAAATGTAGACATGCACAAGTGATTTGATTACTGCTACGGCTGTATGCTGACATAAGTTAGGTCAATTTAATTTTGTAGTGTAGACTGCCACTTACAGCGTTGAAACTTTTTTCGCCCAGGGGTGTGGAAAAACACACCCCTGAGCGACTCATGTTTCAGCACTGTAAAGTGGCAGTGTAAACAGTGCTACAGGGCTGGGAGTGGCACTCCCAGCACTGGAGGCTATTCCCACGCGGAGGTGGTTTTGTTACAGCGCTGGAGCCATGGCTACACACCCAAGTTAAAGCGATGCCGGGGCAGCAATTTAACGTTGGCTGTGTAGACATACCCATTCCCAGACCTGAAGAAGAGCTCTGTGTAAGCTGGAAAGAAGTTGGTCCAACAGAAGTTATTATCTCACCTACCTTGTCAAACCAATCTATCACTTGCCTCAGTAGAGTCCAGGATATTTAATAGGATAGGCTGTTTTAGAAAAATACTCCAGTACTTTTGGCACAAAAATCTTTTCTTTCAAAATCCAGCATGTAAGCTTATATTTCTGGTTATTTTTTTCTGAACAAATATTTCTTGTGCACAGTTCAAGGAATCCTACTCCTCACAACTACTTGCTCTATTCCCAATTAGTGGAGTTGAAAAACACTTACATGTTTAGGATAACAAAACAAAACATGCATTTTGCCTTGGCAAAAATGTATTCCGGGGCAACAATTTATCATTATACTCCTTTATTTCTTACTTCATGAAAGTAGTTAAGACAAAAGCATCAAAAAGCTAATGCTTCCATTTTAAATAATTAGCAATGTTATCAAAATGTGAACATTTGGCATTTTTAAAATATATGCCAGTAAAATACAGGTTTTGGCCTAATGTTTCTGAGGGAAATTATGTATTTCAGTCAGAAGTCATGCATGAATTCTGCAAAAATATAGCATCTATGAACTTTTGCATGAATTCAGAATGGTTTGACAGTTTGCACCTCTCTCCAATTTGCTATTTTGAATATCCACTCAAAGAGGTTTTTGTTCTTGTGAATGTTTGACAATTGGTATTTAGACCTGTTCAGAGGGCTAGCTAGTGGCCTATACACCCTTCAGTTTGAGACCTTAAGTGAGACTGACATGATGCATAGACTTTACCCTGGCCCCCTCTGCACAGGGGTGAATTCCCCCCCACCCCTGCAAATTACCTCTGGTGCATGTGTACAAGACATTGTGTGAACAATTCATTATTCATTATTGACTATTCTTCCCCTTTCTCAGCCCTTTCTTTACTCTCTGATATAGATACACTGAGTTCCATGCAGTTTATTTTGTCGGCTTTTTCAGAGGGACCTGAAAAAACAAAGTTCTTCTTTGTGTGGATGTTAATAATTCCACACACCCTTTTGTAAGATTAGAAGTTTTCCTGGTGTCCTTGGCCCGTTCTTCATTGTGCAAGTTGCTGTACACTGATTGGTTGCTATCTTGACGCTGCCCTAGACGTTCAGTTCATTGAGAAAGTTAATTTTTTTTCAGGTGAAAGGTTTTATATTATCAGATATTTCGTTATTATATTATTTACATAAGGCCCCCAATCCTGGATTGGATCTAGAGCACTCTTGGCTTCAGTTGGGCTCCATGTGGATGCAGAGGTCCACACTAATAGAGCTGATTGCAGGATTGGGTCCAAAAGTTATAGACTGATGGAAAATGCAGGGCATTAGTATGGTCATTATTATCATTTATAATTTGTATCATTGCAGCAGGTAGGAGTCCCATTCAGGGACCAGGACCCCATTATGCTAGGTGCTGTGCAAGCACACACAAAAAAAATGTATCTCATGTGGACCAGTTTCTTTTGAAATGAGCAGAAACTTGATTTCTTTTAACATTGGGGACTGTCCATTGAAGTTTACCTGGAGAGGATTCCCTTCTTATATCACATACTCACCTTTGCAAAATTCAGCAAAAGGTGACTGGCACACAGCCATGACCACAACCCTGATCCTGAAAACTGATCCTAAGGGTGTCTGTGAAGAGTCCCTACTTTGGGGCTGCATGCAGGTGCAAGGGTCCACCTGCATTAATCAATTTGCAGGATTAGGACCTAAATTAGTTGTACAATTAAGAAAAAATTCAAGTCCAGTTACTAGTGTTACCAATGAAGGTAAGGTCTGAGGACTTAAGGCTTGATCTAAGTCCGTCTGAACTGTGTATGTTCTATGAAATAATGTGTAACAGTTTTACATTAACTATGTAATTATCCTTTTTTACCAATGTATATTTTCTGATCAGCAAAGGCTTGGGGCAGAGATGATACAGAAACATTTACTTGCTGTGACAAAGACAGTGACTGTCAGGGCACAGTTCTTGCTTATTTGCTGTATAGAAAAACTTTCATTGTATCTATGTGAATATGCAGGTAAATTGTATATAAATAAATTTTAAAATTCAGATCTCATTGAGTGTAGTTTCTTATCTTCAGAATCACAAATATTCACCAGTTAGATACGAAAGATATGTTTTCCTAATTAGATAATCTCCAAACTACAATTCAGTTTTCTTTTTATGCTGTTACAATATAAATATTGTAAAATATCAGCATCACATTTCAGGTGTCTTATGTAGCACATTTTAAAAAAATATTAATGTAGACCAAAATAAAACACAATTCCACTCTCCAGTGTGTGACTCCAATATTTACAAGACCTTCTAATTGATTGTTTACTCCATTTACCAGTTTCTTTTGGTGGAGCAAGGAAGCATTTTGTTGGGCCACTAATTTACTTTACTGTTTCAGACTTATGCAAGGAAAATGAATAAGTTTTTCACTACAAAGAGATCACATTTAAGCTGATCCCTCAAACTTCTCTCCCAAAAAAGTCACATCTATGGAGTTTAACTGTTATGTGCCTACCAAATAAATATTTAAGAGGTTCTGTTTTATTTTTTTAATTTATTATTTGTTTGCAAAGAATGACCTCAATGTTGAAAGAACTGTAACAAAGAAGAAAAATGTTTTATTTGTGAATATATTACAAGTTTCTACCCTATTTTTCCTTCTTTATAGCTGCAGTCAGTGTGAGCAAGCATGACAGCTGCTCAAACTCAGCAAACTTCCAAGGAGTTGAGTATATGCCTGACCGATGTGTCTTGGAAGAGTCTGAGAGTCCAGGTGAGAGCCCTTTAAAGATAGTCACTGAGTATCAAATGATAAATATGACACAGCTTTTGAGCCAATCAAATAAAGCACATTGTAATGCTCCTTCCTTTTTAGCAGCTGCAATGTCAAATTAATGGTCACCTCCTGGGGTCATAGTGTGGAGCTGTTATCCTTTCCTCTTTCATCAAGCATTCAAGTCCTAGGAAGGATAAAGGCTTTATGACCAAAAAGAAAACTGACACTACTAGTTCATTATCATTAGTTTTGGACTAAACTGCTTAGTTAATATATGTACAGTGTCTGACCCTTTGAAGGTAGAGTAAGATTATGAAAAATTAGAAGGATTGTCCCTACTATAGCTGAATATAAAGCAGCCGTTCAGATGCTATAGGTCTGGAGAAAAGCAAATTGACAGTGTTATAACCTGATTCCTTTTTCAAATCAACTCACAGTAGTTAGTTCAATTAATGATTTTTAACATTGAAATGATTAATTGCAGTGATGTACATAAGGTGCATCCCCTTCTAGTGGCTATGGGATTTGTCTTAATGTTGCTTATTTCTCTATCTATGTATGGTATATGTGAGAACCTTATTAATTGAATCTGAAGGGAGAACAATTAAATTTAAAGTGCATATTATTATAGCTGATTAAAAACATAGTGTGTGATTAAATAAAAGAAAGGTAAGCAAGGTGTGGGTCTGGCCCACATACCAACATGTAGGTAACATGCACACAGTATCCCTTAGTGAAAGAGTTAAATGTCTTTTTTTCACTTGATATTTTCCTTTCCTGCTTTATCTGGTTTCTGTGTACCCTCTTGCATCTTTGTGTGCTGATCCGTGTATCATATTTTTGATTCATCCTCTCTGCGGCCTGTCAGCTTAGTTAAGAGATTTCCAAATCTTGCAGCCTGCACTGACAGGGGGCAGCTGCCAACAGTCCCCTGATCCTTCCCCAAGGAGTGCTGCTGAGATTTAATTTTCAGTGAAAGGGTGCAGTCTGAAATCCATGTCAGGTCCCCTAAGTCATCTCAGAACCCAGATAGGACCCATGGCTATGGGATTATATTTCAGTGCACTCCACTCCTTCAAGATTCCTTGGGAGTTGAACTGCTGTCATGTACCTGATTTGAACTATGTTTCCTTTTCATTTTTTCCACAGAAATGAGCAATGGTATATTTTAGAATAAGTGAAATCAGTGAATTGTAAATCTGCACCTATTTTCAAACCATTTTGGCTTGGTCTCACTACTTTGCAGCAAAATGCAGCATTGGTTTTAAAAATAATAGGTACCAGGGTAGGGAGACACGTTTAATTCCATATTTCAGTTACACCAAACCATCGAGGATACCATACTTTAAGGCTTATGCCCTTCAGGAACTGTCCATAAACCTTTCTAGAACTGTTAGAGATAAATGGACAGCCTCATTTTTTATCTGTTTTGGACAAAAGTTAGAAAGAATTAATTAAAGGTTAATAGTCATAACTGGTTCAGGTGAGAATTAATTTAGGGCTCCCTCTGCCTAAAGATATTAATTTTAACCTTCCTTTAAGTTATTTTGGGTGACTGAATGCGTATGGCACTGGATGGGAGTGTAGAATATATAGTTCTGCATACCATATGTGTGTGTGAAATAAAGAAAAGGATGTAAAACTGTCCAGCGGTGAATATTGATTGGGAAAAATGTGTGTTGATAAAGAATCTAAACTTAAAAACTGAGTTTCATTCTGTCCATCTGACATCATTAAACTGCTAATAAACCATGAATTACTCTGGCTTTTCTCTCTGCCCATTCCTGCATTTTAAGACATCTTGCCTTGTAGGTCTGAAAATCTCTGGAGATTTCACTACTGGTCTCACTGCTTTCCACTGAGAATTTGTGGCTTGGTTGTCATGGAGACATCGTATTTCTCCAAGAATTGCTCATATTGATCCGTGGACAGGCGTAAATGGCCAGGCGAATGTGAGGAGTAAAGGGGGCTGGGCAGTACTATAAAATGACCAGAGGTTATGGGTCGGAAATAAGCTCATAGCAAACACTTAGGTAAAGAGAAAGAAACAGTTTCATTTTGTTTCAGGATTTCGTTTTTGCACTTTGTGCCATTGTCTTCTTTCACTATAGACTGAAAGAAACTTGTTAGTCACTTGTCATGTCAGATCTTTGGTGCTTGTCCTGACACAGCTGTCAGCCTTCCAGCTCTGTGCAGTTCAGGGACACACAACAAAGAGCAGGCAACATGAATTATTTATTGCTCCTTGTGTGGATGAAATTCTGTGATAAGAAATTAAGACACTTCTGACAGAAGCATTTGTTTGAAAAGAAAGATTTTGGTGATAGAATGCTTGAAGCTTACCACTTACTTTTTTGTAGGCAAACATTCAAACAGTAACGTAACATTTAGTTGGGTACTATTTTCTTTAGTCTTTGTCACATGTTTTTACTTTGTAGTGTATTTTATTTACTATTTGAGAGCATGAAGGATGTCAGCATTTGACTTGATGAAATCTACAACTTCAGAATCTGTGTCCCATGAATTCAAAGCCTGGAAAAACTTAGAAGCTCCACCTAAGCTTTTATTAAAAAGCAACCTATATAGGTTTGTAGAGTTGTTTGTATTTTGCTTATAGTACTTTGTCATATGCTGCATTTCCCACAGAAACACCAGTAAGGAGTATATTGACTTTACCGTCTCTTTTGATGAAGGTAGGGTGAAAGTATTACAGTGCATCTTCAAAGAGCTCTATAAGTATTCTTAGAAAGGTACTTTATTATATTTTATTGGAACCAGTATGGGTTACAGAGGTGCAGAACCCCTACTAATAGATGTGACTGTGTCATTTGCCTTTTGATGACCCCGATAATAGATTCAGAGTAATTTTCAAACTGATTTTAATTCTCTACAGTCTTACACCATTTATTTACTTATTTTGGTTTTGGCCTTCCTGATGTTCCACACAGGTACACTTCCTCCCACTGCTGCAGATTTGGCCTCAAGCAATCACAGAAAAGGGCATATACCCTGGTGAATAGCAGGAATCCATTAGACAAGCCAAGAAACTAATCTGGGATTTACCTATAATTTTCAGTGTTCATAATATGGTATGACTAGTCTCCGACAGGTAATAGAACCCCTCAGCCTGCACTTTCCTCTTGGATAATTCATTAGTAAACATTTTTCACCTGCACCAGACACAAGTAAATATCAGACTAGGGTTTCTTGCTGGGCATACTGGATTTTAGATGCTCTCTTGCATGTACCTACAAGCTGCCATTATCTGAGATACTGGCTCATGTTTGTATCCTCCCTCACACAGAGGAAATGCTGGGCTTCTATCCCAGATGTCTAATACTAGGTTTGTGTCCTCCAGTTTCCTACATACTGAAGACTACTTCTCTCTACAATGCAAAGCCATGGCTCTTCAAACTTGTCCCTGCTTTGGCCTGTAACTAACAAAATAATCAGATAATGTCAACACTGTGTTTATAGACCTGGTTATCTAGGCATATCAAAACACTTTACAAATCTTAACAGACCCTCACAATGCCCCTCTGAGATAGGGGTTACCACCACATCTTCCAGGTTGGGAAACTGCAACACAGAGGTGTTAAGTGACTTGCCCAAGTTAATGCACTAAGTCTGTGGCACAGCTGGGAATAGAACCCAGATGTCCGGACTCCTACTCCTGAGCACTAGACTATGCTTTCTCTCATAGGGAGCCTAGGTACCTTTCCTGTCCAGGGAGGAGTACCATTGCAGGCATGATTCCCCCACCACCCATGCAGAAGTCTTTTGGGAGCATTATGGAGGTCTAGCCCCATGGAGTTGGAGGGGACCAGACAAAGATTCTTTGAATTTTACCCACTGAAACATGGAGGGAAAGCAGCACAAATTAATGCACCCTGAGATTTCTTTGCCTTCTGTGCTGCCCTTTAGCACAGACCCAGTAATGGGAGCCCCTGAAAGCCTGGCTCATGCAGGATCAGTGTTGTCTAGGGATAAGCGGGGCCAGGTGGAAGAATATAGGGAATGCATATTGGCATAAATGTCCCTTGCCGACTTTGGACCTCCCACCACAAATCTTGCCATATTCATCAGGTAAGCAGGTAGAAACCCAGGTATTTCCAGGGGTAGTGGGGACATATAACACTCCTCCAACGGAAGAGTGAGTAAGAAGCTGGAGGTTGAAACTAGCAGAGCATTTTCTCCCCTGTGTGGGTGTAATGGAGTATACAAACACTATGCAGGAGAAGAAGGGATTAAGGAGGTCCTCTGGGCCCAGGCAGTACTGCCCCATCACACCCTCAAAGCCTGCACAAGCTGGAGGAAGAGCTTAACAAGGGAAGCAGAGTAGCTCAGTGGCAGGCAGATAAGGGAAGTAGCTGACGTGCACTCTGAATTCCTGGAAGGAAGTCCCACAGGAGCTCCTGTTGCCTGAGGCCTGGTGATACTGACCTGAGCAAGCATGCAAAGGAGGGACTGGTGAATTCTGAAGGTTAGAAACTTAGTTTGTATGTTCAGTTATTTACTTTATCCTGTGGGAAGAGGAGGTATTGGTAGGAAGTCATCAAGAGAGGCAGCTGCGTAGCACCTCAAGGCACAGGGCTTAACTGCCTATCATTGGGCCCTGGATTGGAGTGGGGTGGAGGGTGGGACCAGGATCCCGTACCTGCCCCTAAAAAGGCCTTTAAAAGTCTTTCAGTATCTCTTTGGTTAAGCCAAGAACATTCATTTGTGCATCTTAAATCCCTCCTGTCACTTCACACGGAAAACATTGCTTCTAAATATTTTGCCCTTCATTCTCTGACTAGCCTGGACAGAATAAAATTCTGCTTGTATATCAGACACTAGTGAAAAATCCCCATAGTTTCACACCTTGCTTAGTTTCATGTACCAGAAAATCCTGAGCACAAATGTGGGGGAGAACAATCTGTGGCCCCCCCTGAGATTTCATCTGTGAGATATAGCACTACACTAAGAGGGAAAATGAATCAAAAAGGAAAGATTCCAATTGGGCAAGTGCACCTGAGAGCCATGAATATGCAGCACTGAGTGTGACTGTGTTGTTAAGAGACGGGTTATAATCACCCTTTAGAATACCTGATTAACACTCTCCAGGGTATGCAGCTCTAAGGTATGTTATTTAGATCAGTGCAGTACCACTTATATCTGTGGATCAATATCCTGTTGTTGGAACTTGATACTCAAATCGAGGTTTTCCATTAAATTTCACAACTATAGAGCACCTTATGAAAAATCAAGGCTTTTTTTTTTTCTTTTTCTGGCTCAGGTACCAATATCACAGCAAAAAAATATAAAAGGGTAACTAAACAAGGACAGATTCAGGAATGGAATGTTAGCAATTGCTGATGATGCATGAAGCAGAAAGAATGTGGAATGTGTGGACAACCTATTAATCATAACCACAGATAACACATACTGCTCATGGTCTGTGTTAAATAAAACTTTATAAACATTTTATCATACTGTATGATGGTATTAAAATATATCATGTGCCATTTAGCATTCAGTTTCAAAGTATCAAATTATTATTCTATTTTTTTTTCACATGAAATTAGAGAGTAAATCAAGACGACTGCATAGTGTGGTATGAAAAAATGTTTTATAGCTATACAAATATAAATTGATATCTACTTTTAATTAATCAAATCTCCTGGATTTTTGACTGTAATTATTAGAACTGCAAAAGACTGCTTTTATCTCTTTCTCTCTATTCTTACCTTATCTCTTCATTGCATCCACTTAAACAGTGGCTTATAAAATACCCAATACACGATATATTTTAAGTTTAGGCTATAAGTATTATCATACATCAGCTAGGAAAATTTATGCGACTAAAAATTTGATTGATTGACTAATTCCCATTTCTGGTAGACTCTTGATAAATTGTGACAGGACTAAGATCTCATACCTGAATAACATTATTACTCCTCTTTCCACTTATTCTACAATAAGTCCAGCTGAGAGAATTATGCATTCCATCTGCAAGTGAAGTGAAAATGCAAATAATCTGTTAGCGTCTAACACAAATTAGCTGTCTCCTTCCAAAATTGGGAAGTTTTGCACATCTAAAGAAAATTTGTGTTGAATTGCTTTAAGGAGATACATATGCACTCTCGAGCCAATTTGACTTCCATGTTGCTTTTTGTGATGTTGCTCTTTGAGGGGGTAAAATATTTTGTGGTTGTAGATTGCGGTATACTTGAATACTAGCATAATATTGATGCATAGCTTAATTTCACTACAAATAGTGTTGAGAGTTTTTATCATTTTATAAAGTGATTTATAATGAACTCTTTTAAACAAGTGAAGCTGTGCCTATTAATCACACCACAGAGTGTTCCAAAGTGAAATGAATACATTTGTTTTCCAGATGAGATGAAACAGCATCCTTGGATGTCCAAGGTGTGTTCCTGCAAGGTGTGTTAGATAAGCCTGTTTCTTCAATGAAACTAGAAGGTGGTCAAGTACAGCAGAGGAACTGAAAATACAGGACTCTTTCATAGGACAATGATTTTCTTTAATGTGTTTTGATAAATAACATAAACTGAATATTTCTTGTATCACTATACCTTTCACAATTAATTTTCAAAAATATCTTTCATATCATCTACTTTTCTTCTTAGTTATTGGTTCCATGTTTAATGACAGCCCTTCAGTAGAGTCACATTGATTGAATATAATCTAGATTTTTGTTAACATATGCAACATTAAATGATTCCTTGTTCTTGAGATGTTTTTCCACTAACAGAAGGAATCTCAAGACAGAGATATTTTGTCATTATTATTAAAATTTACTTTAGAAGTATTATGGTAACTCTATCTGGTAAATATTACATTTGACATAAATTTGAAGATTTAAATTAATGTTAAATGTTCTGTCTTGTAACTAAACTACATTTATTACTGATAACATTTCAACATGGGGAAGACCAAATATATTTTAAAACAACTTGTGCATCAATGTTTGCGTGAATGTAAAGAAAAAAATTAAGCATTTAATTAAACTGCAAATTAAAAATTAATGTGTGTGATTGCATTGTAGATAAGTGATTCTGCAGATATCAATACAAGGAAAAAATGTGTATGTGTACGTATTGATGTCAATATGAAATTTGGAGAAAGCTGTCCATTAATCTAGCATCCACTGCTGAAATGATGCACTGTGTACAGGTGCTGTTCACATTCCTCAGAATGAGGAATTTCAATATGTATTTGCAGTGCAGTTATAGATAAAACACAGACTTCACACTCCTACATGCTTATCCTTGGATCCTGTCTTGAGTCTTGTCTGGATCTTGTGCAATGTGGGCCACATTCTGCTCACTTATTCTGGAGTAACTTCACTGACTTCACTAGACTTTATTCCAAATTTACACAGGTGTAACTGAAAGCAGGAAATGACCCATATCATCAGCTGAGAAAAATCCAGGGTTAATCTACCTCTCAGTGTTTATGATACAAGCAGAAAAGCAAACAGTGAGAATGTAAAACATGATTTATTTATAACTACGCCTAGCAAAATATGTTATATGCAATTTCGCAGATGGCAGACAGTAATCCAAATGTGAGTGAGCGCGTAGGCCCTATTCTTGCCTTCACCACCTTCTATTCTTAATGGCTGTCGCTTATTTCTGTAAGCAGAAGCCCAGATCTTGATATTTTGCTTCTTTAGGTAGCGATGCTTTCAGAGGCATTGCTTAAGCCATGATCCTTCTAACAACATTTCCATTTCTTCTGTAAAATGCATCATCTTGGCATTTTATGAGAATTGCAGCCATGTTCATGTGTTGTATTAGTGCACCTTTTATCATGGGATCATCCTTTTCTTTTCTTTTTTTTGTGCTGCATAGTCACATCCCTATCTAAGGATCCAGTTCTGAATTCTGTAACTATTACTGCCCTTGAGTAGAGTTAGGCTTTGTCTACACTAGCAAGTGAACGACACAACTTTTGTTGTTCAGAGGTGTTAAAAAAAAAACCAAACAACACAACAACCCCAAAAGACAAGTTTTGTCGAGGAAAAGCGATGGTGCGAACAACACTTTGTCGGCAGGAGCGCTCTCCTGCCGACAAAGCTACTGCCGCTCGTTGGGGGTGGAAGTTTTTTGTCTATGGGAGAGCTCTCTCCTGCCGACAAACAGCGGCTACACTGCACGCCTTTTAGCGGCTCGGCTGTAGCAGCATGGCTGTGTCACTAAAAGCAGTGTACTGTAGACAAAGCCTTACTCACTTCATCCCCTTCTTCAATGTAAAGGCTGCAAATTGGGCCCAAAACTGTTTCCACCAAAGTAGTAGTCTCTCTCTTCCAAAAAGCATTCCTGGGTCAAAGGATGTTGCATAGATCAATGAATTAGTATTGTTCACAACATCCTGTAGTGTTGTGGTAACAATTACATTTGTGGAACATGATGTTTGATTGCTTGCTTTTAATTCTACAAAGCACTGCATACCAGCAGACTGCCAATACTGATAACACTTTGAAATGCTTTCTGCAGTGATGATTGGTGTTTGGCACATGCTTCTGCATGCCATTGTTTATTCACTTTTGCTAATTATAATTGCAAGTATCTGCAAGGTAATGCATTAACTTTTTTATTAGGTACATTTATTGTCCTGGAGGGTATTTCCAAATGGTGTTTGGATGCCTTTTAAACACCCAGGCATGCCAACAGAGGCTGAAGACCAACTTTTGCTGAGGACAACATATTTGTACCTACTCAACCAATTTACATCTATATACAGAAATATGCATTAACATCCTGCATTTATGAGCAGCATACATGAGCCACAATGGCTAAGAAAAAGATCCCTACTCTAATACAATCTGGCGCACCTTTGCAGTGATATTTATTAGATAATTTTGATTTTATAAGGAAGTTACAAGGTGTTTGCGAATGTATTTTTCAATTGTATTAAGTTAAAGGGACTCCATCAAGATGAAAGTCATAGTTTAGTGTCCTTATCAAGGTTGTAGTTATATCAAATTTTCAAAAATGCCCAGGCGAGCTAGGAGCCTAAGTTCCATTTTCAAAAGTCATAAGTATTTTTCATAAGTAAATCTTCATAAGTCAGTGAGACTTAGCAATTTAAGTCACTTGGGCATTTTTTAAAAAATTTTACTCATAATCCATTGCATGATTTTTAAAAAATACCTTAAAATAGAATTTACTTTTAATTAGAGATAGGTCCAAACCAAAATTCCAGTCCTAAGAACCCTTTTGAAACTTGGAATTTCCAGTCCAAATGTGGACATGGATCAGAATCTTGCAACTGGCTCCTATCTCTTCTAATGGGCTGCTTCAAATTCTCAGATCCAAACATTGCAATATTTGGATTAGGATCCATATTATTAACAGTCCAGAATTCAGCAGTTTGATCTCTGATGTGCTGTTGACTTATTTTTAAGCTTGAAAAGTGAAATGAACAGCAGTTGTTTCAAATTTCAGGATTATATGTACTTGCACAATGCCGTTGTGTTTGAGTGTTCCAGGGAAACATTTTAATAATAATAAGTCTGCTGCTTTCAGAGGTGCAGCTGTGACCCAGGCACCACCTGCGTGTGGTGTTTTGTCCCATCCAGTGTCACCAAGACCTCTTAGAGAGAGAGAGAGAAAGCAATTAATGAGTCTGCTCTATAGCCTTAGCTAACAGCCAGTTGGCTTTTAGCTCATGCAATAGAGGCTCATATGTAAGCGGGGGAATAGTCCCGCTACTGTGGGGAACTTTCCTGGCTTCTGCACTACCCCGGTGAAGTGGGCTAGCAAAAGGATCCGAGTCCTCGCTCCCACTTCCTTTACCCAGTGGCCTCCCTGCCCTTGAGGACTCCCCTTCTACTCTCCTGTCTGGCAGAGTCCGCGTAATACCAACAAGGCTGGGCCCAGGATTCCTGGGGGGCTCAACCCCCAACCCTGCTGTTGTCCCTAGGACAGGGGCCAGGGTGTCCCCACTCCGGGGTACTCTCTCTGCACTGGGCAGTTCTCTGACCCAATGACCATTACATACAATTTGAAGTAAATGCAAGTTATTTAATCAACAATTAGTTTTAAAAAGAATAAGGAAAAATGGGAAAGGTTAAAGGAAACACATCACCCCGCTCTGTGGCAGGGAACATCACAAGCAGTGTCTCTGGAATGTCAGGAAAGTCTGTTCCTTGTAAGTCCCAGGCCTCCTTCTCAGGCCCTGGCTGTGCTGCAGGGATGCTGTTGGTTGGACACTTTCTCTGGTGGTGGCCACATGCTCTCAGGCTCTAAGTGGTAGGACCCTTCTTCCCAGTGTCGCCCCGCCCTGTCGGGGTTACGATCCAAGCCTGGCCTACAGAGCCTCTTGGCTGAGGTGTCTCCCTGTGCTGGGCCTGCTGTGCAGGGTCCCCCTCGCCTTCTCCAGCTGCTCACTGCACCCAGTTCCAGACTGCTCCAGCCCCAGCTCCACCACTCTGTCTCTGCACTGCTGCTGCTCTGCCTCCAGCTCCCTGGGCTGCTTCTTTGGCCCCTCTGGCTCTGGTTGCTCCAGTTCTGCTCCCAGGACAGGTCTGCTCTGCAGGCTGCTTCTGTGACTCTGCTCCCAGCACTGACCTGCTTCCTGGGCTGCTTTTCTGGCCCCTCTGGCTCTGGTTGCTGCAGCTCTGCTCCCAGGGCAAGTCTGCTCTCTCTGGGCTGTGCTTCTAGCTTTGGGGCTGCAGCTCTGCTCCCAGAACAGGGTCTGCTCTCTCTGGATCTGGCACAGCTCTGCTCCCCAGCTTAGCTTGGGCCCCTGCTTTCTCCTTAGCTCGGCCCCACTCTGTCTGACCCAGGCAAATCCAGCTCACACAGAGGAGGGGACCTCCCTGGCCTCCAGACTCCCTGATTAGCCTGCCCGCCCTGTCATTCAGGCTGACCTGGAGCATTGGCCTCTCCCCATTGCTCGTAGGGACTGGCAGTCTCAGGGTCCCGATTCCCCATCGACCCTTCTCCCTTTTTAGTTCTGGGAGCTAGCAACTAAAACACCCCCACTGAATATTAGTAAGGGGGCAACAGTCCCCTTACACATGCACTAAGCTCCAGAGGTCCCAAGTTGGATCCCGCCCATCAACGACCGGGTCTGTCAGTGTTACACAGATGCTCCCCTCCAGTTATGCTGGTAGAAGGAAGCAGTGTGCACATAACTAAGGTGTTGTGTGCAAAGAGAAGGGGAAGAGTAATTGGTCTGTGCAATGTTTTCAAACCTCAGCCCTCTGAAAGCTCTTTTGCAAGCACATGGGGTGGGGCATATAGAGGTGAAGTGTGCAGCAGGGTGTCTCCTATGGAATAAGCAGCATTACCTCTCCATAGTGTTTTCGCCTCCCTTTGGAAGAGTATGGCAGTTACAGTGCAGACTTGAGAGAGAAGGGCAGTGGGAACACAGGGCTTGAGGTCATTGTGCTGCCAGGTCTGAGGGATTGGCCAGAGAGCCCCACAGTGGGACAGCTCTCTATGCTACTACTGATTTGAGATCTGTGAAGACAGAAGCCTGGTTCTCAAACAGGACAAAGATTTTTGCTGAGTTTATGGGTCATGCATCTTTCCCCTGTGTTAGCAGAAGAAACTCCATGAGCTGATCCTCCCCCCCTTTTCCCTTCCTGGAGGTTTTCCCTGTGAAAAGCAATAGCCAAGTCAATGAAATTTTTAAGAAATCATGAGAGCATTTATATTCATAATAGTTTTGCTTTGTTTTTTAGATTCTGAATGTGCAGAGTCTAACGTTATTACTACAGCTCCAATATTAGCATGTGAATTTCCAAATCCATAACCTCAATTTAAGGGCAGTAATTTCCATTCTGCTGCAACATGAAGCTTAACCAATGACTGACTCAGAGATCCTCTCTCACTAAGACATGCAATAAGTTTTGCACTTTTGAATGGCACCTGTTGAAAAAGGCCAAGTGTATGCAAGTGCAGATGCACTCCCAAATGCCTGCACAATTACCTATGTTGCACAAACATTTCTACAGTAGGGCAGATGTGACAGCCAAGAAGCATAAACAG